TTTTATGTTCAATTACAACTATATATGGTCACCACTTCACTGGCCACATCCAAATCAAATTAATTTTACAGCTAATCAACCAAGATTTGGGCTCAAAGGCCTACACATAAAACAAATCCACGACCCAAAGGTCAATTAGAATGTTGAAAGCCCGGCTGGCTAACCACCTCCCGGATGGACCCAACACATGAGATGGCCCATATTAAAGGAGGGTATTTTATGTATTAAAAGTGTCAATTATATTTAACAATTATGATTTATATTATTTTCAGAAATAAGAAAAATTTTAAAAAAATTATATTGCTCAAGATCTTGAGTTATTTTGAATTTCTTAAATTCCTAGCGAGATATTCTAGATGTATTATATCCATTACATTTCAATAAAAGCCCACACAAATGTACAGATGCAAGCGATGGGCTAGAGTCTTCCCATGGTTGTGGATGGGTCACATCAGCACTCATGCTTAGCACCTACATCGAACCAATTTTGACACTAGAAACATGAAACTGTGCATAACTATATATTTTTTTTAAGATTGAACACAACAATTTGTAGGGAAAAGCTAATGCAAAGCAATTTGAAACATGAGTTGGAAATAAAGTTACTATTTTATGTTTCGTCCCTTGCAGTCAGTCTGGAAATAAAGTTACTATTTTATGTTTCGTTCCTTGCAGTAGTTGTGGAAGGCAATATTATAGACTTTCTGAACCCCTTGAGCTCCAGTATTGCTATTTCAAGACTTTCTTTTAATGGAGGATAATAAATGGAAGAGGCATAAAAGAAGAATAGGTTCGTGGGGGAATTATGACCAAGAAATAAAATTGGACATTGTTCACTACCAGAAAATTGAAAAAAGCCAATGAAAATGCCGACGAAAAATATTCCGTTGCTGTTTCCTGAGGGAAACCGTGATGGAAAATATTTTGTCCCTGTTTCTTAAGGAAAACTGCAATGGATAATTTATGTCAGTTATTTTCTATGAAAATGCTGAACATAATTAATTAAATAAATAAATTATATTGACAATTCTGTTGGCATTGATGACTTGTAAAACTTTAAATAGAATTGTCTATAGAAATTCCCTCAATAATTTTAAATTGAATAAAACCTAACAGCCCCTCTCTTTTCTCCCATTTCTTCTTTTTCTTCTTCTTCTTCTTCATTTACCTAAATCCGACACAGTACCAGGTAACCTATGTTTATCTCCTCCCCACTCACAAAACCATCACCCTACTCATCCCAGGTTTATCTCCTCCCCACTCACAAAACCATCACCACCTTTCTTCTACTCATCCCAGGTTTATCTATATATATATGATGCCAAGCAAGCTTGTGTTTTAAGGTCAATATCAAGACATGATGGAGCATTGTGCCCCCACCCCTCTACCCACTGTTTCTTTTTATTTTTTGAACATAAATTATAATGTTGCTTTATCTAAAATGAAAGGGATGGATTGATGCTGAAAGCCTCAACACAAGCTTCTATGTTGATTTGTGTGGAGGAGTTGCAATGAGAGATGCTTAGGGATTAACTATTGATATGAGGTGCTGTCGAACCTAGTTAAATGGGGATGATGTTGGTATTTAAATGGGGAAGAAGGCTGAATTTTTAAGGTAGAAAATATGAATTTTAATGGCTTGATTGCAATTTTGGTTTGTTAATTGGGATGGATTGTTAGTGAAATTTACGAGTGGAGGATAGAATTTCTAGGAAGTATAGTGAGATATGATGCAAATTAGGTAGTTTGTTTGTGCATGGATTGGTTTACATTGAATGTAATTTGGATTGAACGGAATTATTTTGATCGGAGTTGTCAGCTTAAGAGTTCGGAATAATATTGAGAGAGATGAGAACTCAGTTTTGTAAGATTGTATTCTGATTTAAAATGATAAAATTAATTGGTATTTCAGAGAATGCTTTAGCTTGATTTTACAATAATAGGAATTGTGTGACGATTTATAATTGTGTTTGGATCCTGTTGTGATATTTTGTAATGTCTTCATGACTTGGATGTGTACCAAGATTATTAGATTTGAAAATTATTTGATTGTGGTGTTTATTTGATCTGATATGGAATTTTGGATTAATATTTGAATTGCTTGAGATTGTTTTAGGAAAATTAAGTGATTGAAATATGGATTTGGAATAATTTATTTGGTAGGAAAGATTGTTATGAAGTTGATTTTTAGAATTATCATCATAATGAAAATCTTAATTATTAGTTTGTAAAAGATGTGTGGGAAGTTTGTATTACTTGATTTTGTTACAAGTATGATCTTGAGATGATTGGGATGAATATTAATAAAGAATGGATTGTTTTTGAATTTATTTTATTAATTGAATTTGTTATTAGCATGATATTGTTATAAGCATTGTGAGAGAATTGAAATAATGAATTGAGCACCAACTAATGATTGTGGTTTCGTTGTGAAAATGTTGAATTTTTAAAAACAATGAACATGGTAGTTCAATTGTTAAATTTGAATAAAAACAATGATTAATAAGTTGAGGTTGATAGTTTATAAGTGAAACTCCTTAGTGAAGAATTTTAATTGCTTATTGAAACGGCTATTTAGAAAGTGATTGTTTCTCTTTTTTTTTTACTCAACATTGATTTGAATAATGAAAATATTGGGTTGAAGGAAGCTTTCTACTTATAGTATTAATTGTTTTTTTTTAGGTATCATATATCAAAGAAGAAATAAGTCCAAGTTCAATAAGATCACAACTACATAAAGTACCAATGTCAATAATTATGTAGTTAATTTATTAGATGTCAATTATGAAAAAGCATTTATTATAGATGTTAACAACTAACGTTTGATCAATTGAGATAGAAGAGTTAGAATCTCTTCTATTAGAGACTTAGTATTAGACATAATTATTATAGAATGATGACCTCTGTAATTAATGTTTTTTTTCTAATTATTGAAGTTATTTATTTGTATTAAATTTTTTTAAGATTTACATTAAATTGAAATGGCTTTGATAAATTGATTTTCAAGTTTATCAATATTGAAATTATTTATTTGATCTTGTCTATGATGAAATCATTGTTTAAAGAACTATTGTTTTTATGGAGTTGATTTCATGAACATTCTAAATGGACAAATAAGATATAAGCTTGGTGGAGAAAAGTTTAATGTTCGATAAATAAACTTTAATTTAATAATTATTTAAATTTTAAAAAGTAATTAACATATGAATTTAATATAATTTTTTTTTTTGTTTGGACAATAACAATGAGGTATTGGTCAAAAGTAATTAACATATGAATTTAATATAAAAAAAATTTTTGTTTGGAAAATAACAATGAGGTATTGGTAAGAAAAGTATAGGAAAACCATGGTGCTACTAAGTAAGTATCAAATTTATATTACTTTAAATTTTTATTCTTTTAGTTCCTAACCTTATTTCTGTTTAACAAATTTATATACTAAGTTACATGAGTATGATATTTGGAAACAAGTAATTAATAGAATCGACTATAATGACATAGCAATGTGAAAAATTATAAACTAGGGTATATCATGGAGTTGTAATTAGATATTGTTTCAAGATTTTGGTAGCAACAGAAGATTTTAAAAAGTGTTTATGATTCAAGATTTAAAATATAAAAAATTAAACTCATGGTTTGTTCAATTAACATATAAGAGGAGTGCTTTCATTTGTAAACCATACAAAGTGCCTAGTAAATGTTCATTATTAGATATTTTATTATTTTTTAAATTTTAATTAATTTTTTATTTATAAAACTGTTAAAATAAATTATTTAATTTGCATGAAAAGAAGCTTGAGTGGAAATCAACTCCACTTAAATTATACGAGGAAACTTATATTAAAAACAAATAGAGGGAAATGAGAGAGAAAAATTTGTCAATAAAAAAGCAGAAGTGTTCATTGATTTTTTTTTTTTTAACAGTTATCATTTTCTTAATAATGCTTATATGCATCATTAATATGAATTTAGAATTTTAACTTTTTTATTTTTTTATTTTATAGGATAAAAATAATGCTGGCATAATTGTAAAATTTGATGAAGACACTTTTAGAAATGAGGGTGAACTATTGTGTTTCAATAGTAGTCACACCGCATTTCAACCCAAATCACCGGATATTGATGAGTTGGTCCAAAAAATAGTTTAGGAACGATTGGAAGTACAATTACCTAAATTAGAGAGAGAGAGAGAGAGAGAGAGAGGTGAGCACAACTTGAACAAGAAAATAAGAGGCATTGGGAAAAATTACATGCATGCTTTACATTTGACTCCTTCTACTTGGACCTTCTGGTTCACGATACTTTTCTCTCCCTTTTTAGAAGTTTATGTCTTGTTTGAAAAATATTTGTGTATGGAATATTAAGATGAATGAAGAAACTTGTATTATATTTTTTTTTTGTTATGAAGATGCATTTTTTGTTGTGATTGTATTTTTGTTGTTGTTATTTTGATTTTAGGATGAATTTAGAATTATAACAACTGAACAATACAAAAAATATATGAAACGCTGACAAAATCCTTGATGGACATGGGATTCCATCAGCCATTTCATTGGCAATGTTCGCAAAAATTTCTTCGGAAAGTTATAAAAGGTCTTGGCATGTTGGAATTCATGATGGACAGTTCTTTCGGCATTTAAGGTGTCGATAGTGTTGCTGGCGGAAGAAACTTATTTTTTTTGGAGTGGATATTTCATCCGCATTTCCATCGGAGTTGGAAGTTGCCGGCAAAAATGCTGATGGAATGTAAATCCCTGACGAGAAACTTGCCAACAACATATTTCCTTCGACAATTCCATTGACAAGTCAGATACTAACAGAATGTTTTCCTGGACATCAAAAGAATATCCTGTCAGCGTTTTCCAATTTTCTGATGGTGGTTTGAAGCTGACGATGTGTTTATTTTTTAAATTAACTATTTGTTTTCTTTGATGCAGTTGATATTTCTAATATTTTTCTGGTCACAGCTACAATAAGATCTCAAGTTGGATATGAAGCACTATGAGCCAGTAAATTTTGATACTTGAAATATTGATGAATTTCAATGTATTTGCATGTCAAGTTGGATATGAAGCACTTGTTCATCTGATGTAAGTTAGGCTATTATCTTTGTAGCCCTTTTTTCTTAATAAAACTTCGACTATTAACAAAAAAAAAGTGAACTGACTTGAAATATTGATGAATTTCAATGTATTTGCATGTCAAGTTGGATATGAAGCCTTGAAATATTGATGAATTTCAATGTATTTACATGTCAAGTGAACTGGGAAGCACTTGTTCATCTGATGTAAGTTAGGCTATTATCTTTGTAGCCCTTTTTTCTTAATAAAACTTCGACTATTAACAAAAAAAAAGTGAACTGAAAAACCTGGAAAGTCTTATCGAGCCTCAGGCAGGCTAATTGTCAATTCGTTGTTAGAATATATAGTTGATGTGTTATGAAAGGCAACAAAATTGCCAGATCTCCGACGACTAAGACTAGAGAATGCAGGTTCTTTTGGAGAAGGAAGTGATGCATTGTCATTGCTCAACATCTGAACCGCTAATGGCATCGTAGGTCTATCAGCTGGAGACTCCTGCACACACAAAAGCCCTACATGGATGCACCTGAAAATTCTGTCAGGACTTTCACGTGAGTCCTTTATCGATGGATCGATAAGGTCTAGTCCTCTAGCTTCATTCCACAATTCCCATGCCTGAGAAGCATTTTAAATACATTAATGTCTTGTTTTACTAGTAATCAACTATTATATGGAGATAACACGGGAGGAAAGGTTTCTTTTTTCTTTTATTTTTTCAACTTACCCATCCTTGAAGGGTTTGAGGAAGATCGTTGCGAAAAAATTCAGCATTTCTCTTACCGGTCACAATCTCTAATAGCAAAACTCCAAAGCTGAAGACATCTGATTTTTCTGAGAATTTTCCATACTGTGCATATTCGGGTGACATGTAGCCACTGCAGAAGTAATAGTGCAAATGAATTAGTAGTGACAGAAAATTAGAATATCAGTAGAATCACGTTGACGCCAATCGAAGTTTATGTGGAGTAATCAAACTTACTAAGTACCAACCACCCGTTTGGTATCTGCTTCGGTTTGGTCAGATCCAAACATCCTTGCCAATCCAAAATCTGAAATCTTAGGATGCATTGCATCGTCCAGTAATATGTTACTTGCCTTTAGGTCCCTGTGGATCACTTTTAATCTAGAGTACTTGTGAAGGTAAAGTAGACCTTGTGCAATGCCTTCGATAATTCGAAAACGTTTGCTCCAATTAAGGTTTGCCTTTTCAGAAGGATCTGATAGAAGAAATCATTAGCTGACAATTTGACTATGGTAGAACAAACCTAATGTAATGCAATGTAAGTGTTCAAGCTATTGACGATGTTCAGACAAGGATGGCTACATATTTTAGGAGTTTCAAAAGAGAGAACGAAAGTTTACCAAACAAAAACTTATCCAGGCTTCGATTCCGCATGTATTCGTACACCAATATTCTCTCCTCCCCTTCAGCACAGCAACCTAAGAGCCTCACCAGATTAGTGTGTTGGAGCTTAGAAATAAGTTTTGACTCATTCATGAACTCTTCTAGTCCTTGTCCAGATTTCTTAGAAAGCCTTTTTATTGCAACTTCTTGAAATGCCAAATCCCCCTACAGAGCAAATGCTCAATAAAACCAATCACATCATCAGGAAAGAGAATAGAATCAAAGGGAAAGTAACTGAAATCAACTAAATTTGAAAAGTTGAATGCAGCATTTCCTAAAAGTGGAAACAAAACCTTATAAACAGTGCCAAAACCACCCTCTCCCAGTCTATTATCTTCAGAGAAGTCATTTGTGGCGGCCTGTATTCTGTTCAAGCTAAATATGTTCAGCTTCGTGTCACCATTACCAGCTTCACCTCCAATGGGGGTGCTGGTCCCAGAAAAACTCCCTTCAATTATCTCTGTCAGGTATCAATTAATGTTAAGCTACAGAGTAAACCAGGACAGCCAACAATAATCATTATCTTTTTGATGAAGAAAGGTATGGAAAGACACCTTGTTTTCCAAATCTTTTTCTCCAGGTGAAATAGCCAGATAGAATAGCAAGAACCCCTAAAGAAATTACTGCTACTAGAATTATAATAGAGCGCTTGCGTCTACTGGAAAAGTTATCACTACTTCCATCATTTTCAACTGCATATAAAAGTGAAGGTAGATTAGTTGTTATTGAAATTCACTAAAGGGGACAGTTAGTCCTAATCTATTAGGCTCAATGCAGATGTTGAGAAAGTTAAAACTAGTTGAAATTATATGATCATACCAAGTTCTCTGTCATGAACACGAACGTAAAGAATTTGCCCTCCAATGTCATGTACAATATCCATCAAGTCCCCATACCAGCTCAGGCAGTTAATTGAATTTCCTTGACTTGCATTGACAAGTGCATAAGCTGTGCAAGAGCAATTTTGTAGGCATCTTGATTCACAATCATTGGCACTCATATTTTCCACTAGATACGAATGATCTGGTAATTTTATAGTTTCAATCTTCAAAAACCCATCATCCTTGTCACATGTTAGTGCCTTTTGCCTCACACAAGTGTCACTAGTCCAATTCCTCATATGCCACTCTTGCTGAGCTTTTGGCTGGAAACCTGTCAAACATTGGCAATAAACTGGAGAACCTTTTTTGTCACAGCTACTAAATGGACTGCAATGACCATAGAAATCACAGTAAACTTGAGGCCACTGCCATATAGAAAACCATTTACTGTTTTTCTCCTCCCATATCAGAGCCTCAAGTCGCCCATTTGGGACTAGTGTGATCCTTAATATAACTGAGATATCTGAGATACTGTAAGAAAGATAAATATCATCACCCTCTAACTTCACAGTAACGTAATAAGCAAAAGGTAGCCATCGGGATAACTTCGTTAATGACATAGAATTGCTGTAGACATTGGTTCGGCTATAAGGAACATGATCCTTCCATATGAAAAACTGCAGAGGTCCCGTCGTATCCAAGCCGAAAGAGAATAATCCTGGTTGTGGATCTTCAGCGTCTATCCAAGATGTAAGCTGCCTTCTTTGACCAGTTTTGCGATTATTGCCAACTTTCATGCCAGGCAAGAACGTATCCGACGGATGATCAAAGCTCTGCCACAGGATGGTTTCCCCACTTCTCAATAAAAAGTTTCCACTATCCGTTAGGACACCCATCATGCTATTTATAGCTGAATGAGCAATCTTTACATTGGATGACCAAACAATTTTCCCTGTTGCATCCAGAACCACTAGATTTCCATCGACCCCGAGTGAGAAAGTTCCTAGAGAATCAGTAGGGGATTCTCTATTCGCAACCCAGACAACAGATTTCTTCTGAATTTTGTTATACCAAATGCCAAGATAGTACCTTGGAGTTGAATTTCCCACACTAAAGAAGCCTAGAGCAAAAGTTCCACTAGCAGAAATTATGGATTGATTTGCACTGACATATCTGCCTGGAACTATAATCCCTTCTCCTGCACCGATTGGCACTAGAGAAACAGAGATTGACATTAAAAGCAGGAAAACACAGAACCCCATTATCTATTTGTGAGGCTGAAAGAAAGATATCTGCAATTAATGACTAGAAAGGCTTCACATCCGTGTATGATCCACAGCAGCTAAAAATATCATCTGAAGTTGGATATGGTGGACTATAAGCCCTACATCAAATAAAATCTAGCCATCATTAGATATCAAAGGCTTGTGAGGAAAATGCCAAATGATGTCAATTTTTGTAGGCCATTGTTTTACGATGAACTTTCATTTAAGAATCAGTGGCCCGTGGGGCAACGCATGAATGGACGGTGGAAGCAGTCTTTTCATCTTTCTTTGGCCCTCATATGTCTGCACTTCTAGCTCGTTTTACATGCATCTTAGTACCCTGACATGGAATAATAGCATGTTCAGCTTTCAGGCAAATAGAAGAGGACAAAATGGATCCAAATTACATACTGGCAATGCAATCCTGATCAAATCAACCATGTGGTGCAGTAAACTAAGAACATAAATCAAAAGGGAAATGTTTCTTTACATACACCAAACTGATATAAGAGCAATGTGAAAACGACTCTTTGAAACCATATAAAGAAGATAATTAATTTTGGTAATGCGTGACCGGACTGATAGTAGAAGAAAATATCACCAACGAGAAGAAAAGGAAGAATTACATGAGGCTAACTAAACGGTTACTTAATAAAGAGAAGATCGAATGGGCTGAGCCCAGCTTATATGATAAAATACCACATTGTCTCACAAAGAAAAGATTTCAAAGTTGATGTATTAGAAAAGATTCAATAATATTATTAAATAATTATCTTGAACAATTTTTTTCCATATTTTATTTTTAAGAGTGCCCATGTCGCAGCATTAGCCGGCCTATAAAATAGTAACTGCTTAGACGATGCCCAACCCCAGCTGCATGTGTATCATCTTTCTTTATTGGGAAACTCAATATTCATAAAATCAGAAAAAATAAAATAAAATAAAAATTTTAAAGTATAATAATAATAAACACATTAGTGACGTATCAAACTAATTATCGAAAACTAACCACATCATCATGTTTTTAGTACATAATGATATGGTGGTGTGCTGAAGAGCAAATAATATAAAAGCATATCATTCAATTTTCCTTTCATGAGCTGACCTTGTTGAAAGAGCTATTTCGTCTTCCATATTATTAATTATGGAAACCCAAGGGAGCGCACCCACCCCGCAATGCATTCGAGGGTACTTGTAATTAGTTTTTGCAATGTTTCTTTTTAATATATTAAAATAATATTTTTTATTTTTAAAAAATATGATTTAAAAACATAAAAAAATACTTTTAAATAATTTTTTATAAAGAAAAGCCAATTAAAATACAATTACAAGCAGCCCTGCATTCCTTCCTACAAGCATGGCATTTGTAAATGCTTTCTTTGGATTCCGCCTTAACTTGACCGAAGGAGAGTTTAAGCACCACTACAACAAGCGTGAAAATGCAAATTGTCCTCACACCTTTAGCTTCAATTATTGAGATTCTCACCACCCTAATATTATTTTATGGATTCTTTAAAACACTTACCAAAACAGAAAAGAAATATTACAGCCCTTTGTAGTGTTATCATAGCATCAGAATCCTATTATGCTTCCTATAATTAAGCTTGACTTGTTTAAGAGCAAGGAAACAAATAAAAAACAAATCAATCTACATTAATTGACAGTGGCTGCAACTTTATTCTGCAGATTCCTCTCCTTGATTTTCTTGGGCTCCTGAACTGGTTTGATTTTCTTCGACTAGCTTAATTTCCTTTAACGCTTACACTAACCAGAGGCCAGGTTTTAATAATATCTAGTTCAGTGGTTAGAAACATTGATTGCATTGACAATTTGCATAATTTTTCCATCTCTGATATCAAGGTTTTAATTTTAAACCTTTTCCCGCTCAACTTCTCCTTCTCTACTTTCCCACTTGCCTAACTACTGACACAACCCATACCCTTACCATAATGAAAAAACAGAAAATCCATGCCCCGGCCACCTTACCCTGCGCTTGGGCAGGGTAAGGTTGTCCTCTCCCCCTGCCTCCTATAAATACAGGGGGAGAACCAGATACAAGGAGGGGGGAGACGAGTACCTAGAGAGTGGAAAAATAGAGGGGATTTGTTTTGAAAAAGGAGACGAGAAGAAGGGGAAAAAAGAAAGAAAAGGGAGGAGGAAGGTGAGACAGAGAAGAAAAAACCGAACAGAACAGAGGAGGGGAGAAGAAACAACGATAGATACAGATACGGAGAGGGGGGGGGGGGGGGGGGGGGAGCCAACAGAACACAGGGGAGTTGACGGAAGAACGAAGAAATAAAGAAACCGAAACAGAGGGTGATTGGGAAGAGAAATTGAAAGAATAACAGAGGGGATAGAGAGAAGGAAACAGGGGAGAATAGAGGCGAGAAGAAGGACAGGGGAAAGATGGAAACAGAAACAGAGAAGAGAGAAAGAGTGAACGAAACAAGAGAATAAAATAGAAGAGAAAGAGAGAAGGAAGAAGAGAAGAAACAAAGCAGAAAAAATGCACACTCTCAGGAGGAGAAGAACCATCGACCGGTGCAGCAGCTCCTCACTGCACAGCCAACACGTTTGGAAGAATAATCACCGGGGTTCCCAGCCGCCGCCGCCACCGGAGACAGCAACCACGCTCCTTCATTCCAGGTAGCACAGTAGCTAACCACCAGTACAAAATTATATAGTTGTATTATGCAGCAAATGAAATATAATATGGTGATTACTTTATAGAGCTCAGTAACACAGCGCTGAGCACAGTAGCTAACTACCAGTACATAAGCATATTAGTTGTTTCAGTCTGGAACGTCAGGTATCTCATGTGGTTGAGTTGAGTTTAGCTGTAAATGAGTTTTTTGTCAAATTAATTATGGTTTAATTTTATTTTAGATAAATCTCGATATAGTTTCTTTTTAAATTAGGTCCAGCCCATAAAAAAATTCCAAAAATTCATTTTAAAATTTATGATTTAATGTTTAATGATAATTTTAATTAATATAGTTTTATATTTTTATATTATAAAAATATAAATTTGATATTAAAATATCTAGTTTTTATTAAAATATAAAAAAAATTAAAAAAATACATTGTTTTTATATATACTATTAAGTCTCTCAAAAGAAAAAAATATCACATTGTATTTTTATAAAACAAAAATTTTAAAAATATATGTTTTATTAATTATTTTAATTTTAATAACTAATTTATTAAAATTATGAGAACTCGGTTAATATTTTAAAAATTTTTAAAAAATTATTTTATTTTTTAATATTAAAAATTACACACTTATATGTAAACCGTAGTCTTAATATTAAAAAAAATAGTTTTTATAATTGATGTTAGAATGATTATTTATCTGATGAGACAAAAAAATTTTAATCTTAGATTGATTAATAATTAAAAAACACAAGATTTTAGTTTTTTATTGGATAATAAAACATATAATTTATTTTAGATAAAATATATTTAGAGTGCTATATCTTTTGTACTTTATATCTAAGACTAGTTAACATTTTCAATAATTAAACTATTAATTAATGATTTTTATTTTATTTTTTTCATTGATAAAATATAATTTTTTTATCTTTTTATTTGCCAGAATAAATATATATAATACACATATTAAAAAATAGATAATTACTATGATACCACACACATGCAACATTATTGGTCACGAATCCACTCAATTTATGAATTACAAGGTTATCAATATATCTACTTGATTAGAAAAAAGAAATTGAAGATTCTATGAATGTTCGAATTGCAAAGCAATTGCTGTTTTTGTTGATATTGTTAGCATGTTAAATGTGTTCTTTTCCATATCAGTCTTCTTTTAACCAAGGATTTTGAGAGTAAGTGGCTGATAAACGCTATTTTAATTCCATACCACTCTCTATTTTAAAGGTTCTGATAACATGCATGCTAGATTTCCTTTAGTCATGGATTTCTTTTACCTTCCTATCTCCCACGTACGTTATCTCTTAATCCTCACTGCATCTCAATTGCTTAAGCCCAAAACGTGAGCCTGCTTCCATCTTTCATCAAAGCAGATATGAAAACAATATGCATTTGAGGTGTTAGTACAGTAATTCGAGGGATTGTTTCTTTTTTCTGTATCTAAATTTAAATTTTATTATACATGTATGTTATTCTTATAATATCTTATATGTTCATTGAATTTACAAATATTTAATGATCTGTAAAATTAATCGTGATATATATAAATTAGTCTAAATATTTATATAAATAAAAAATATATATATAGAAACAACCTGTTACTTATTATATAAGTAACTTCGGTTCATTTTTCCTTTCAGAGACTTCATTTCTTCTTAATTAATTTTTATGTATAACAGGTACTCGGGATTTTTAAAGGCGATTCGGCTGCTTTTAAGTTTTTTATTTTTACTTTGGCTAACATTACAGAAATGTATTGAATCTTTTAAATACACCAATTCAATACGAAAAATATGCAGCAAAAAAAAATATTTAAATACCCTTCACCGTAGAATAAAAATAAAAATATTTGAAGGTATTTACTGGTTAGTCTTAGTAGGAGCATGAAGATTTAAGACTCGGTTTGTGACCCTTAATTCGTTGGCCTAAGTGAATTCGGCTTAGGCCCTAATAATAATTTTAAACTTGACATATCTATTAGAAAATATATATAAAAATTATATTTTAAAATCTTACGTAAACTTATTATTATGTGGAAGGAGTTCTTGAAGAGTTCACGAGCAGAACCTTATAATTAAGTTATAAGTTAGCTTTTAAGGAGGAGAATAGTCCAAGTTTGCTTACAGGTCTGGACCTTACAGTCAGGACTTGAACACAACACCTAACATATGTTAAGGAATATAAATGAAACGGGAAATGATTCATTCCATGAAAACACTCGAAGTCGCGGTTCTTAGGGTTTAAAGCGCACTGGAAATTTAATCATTTTTTTAATCAGAAATTAAAAATAGAAGAAAAGGCCTCCTAGATTCTCTTCTATACGCCATCCTTTATTGTGATTGTCAAACCATAATTTATGATTAAAAAAACTTTAATCCAACAATAGAAATATGATAATAGAATTGAAACTGTGATGTTTTGATTAAAATGGTGTTTTGGAATGAATTTTAATCTATTTTTTGGTTAAAATTTAAATTTTTTTAAATTAATTTTTTAATATTTAGAATGATTCTGATACGGTGATGTTAAAAAATAAATTAAATAAATAAAAAAATTATTTTAATATATTTTTAAATAAAAAATATTTTAAAAAATAATTATTATTACACTTCCAAATACTTTTAATTTTAGCTCTCATTCAATGTTAAGGACAAATGAAAGGATAATTAAGCAAATCATTGACATACAAGAACATAATTATTAACTTTTTGAAAACAATATTCAATTAAATATTCTATAAAAATATAAGTACTATAAAAATATAAGGACTAACAAAGTCACAAGCATAAGAAAAATTAATCATATAAGAACAAATACAATAAAAACATGATGATCTCTCTTAAGTTATATACCAAACTAATATAAAAGCAATATTAAAATTCATTTTTAAAATAATATAAATTATACTTGTAAAATCCAAATTAACGTAGCTGGTTGACTTGAAACGCAACTGACTTGAAGTCTAAATCAATCCGAGTTAAAAAAAACTTAATTAACTAAGTTAAAAACTTGAATTAACTAAACCTAATCCAATAGAAATTGAATCTTTAATTTTTTGATTTAGAAAAAAAATAGATCAAAACTCAAAATTATTTTTGATCAGATTTTACATGAAACTCACCAAAAACATTAAAAACACACAAAAAAATTAATTTTTACACTAAAGTTTTATACATAATTAAATTATATCCATTTTCAATCACAACCATAATCACAATCACTAAAACAAACACCATTAAATAAGGTTACATGATAAAGAGAATATCCAATAGGCTGAGCGCAGCCCATACGATAAAATGCCACATTGTCTCACAAAGAAGGTGTCCATCTAGCAATTATTCATGCCTCTCAGTATAGTTTGAGGCCTTAGGGAATCCAAACTTGAAAATATAAAATAAGGGTTTACCCCGTTACATGCCTTGCCGAGTGAGGCCATTAATTTGGGATGCGTTGTCAAAGTTCAAGAAGTTGGTGGTGGCCTGAGCAGTGGCAGGATTCTCCACGGGGTTGTTCTGTGAACAATATTGTTAGAATAGTTAGAATATTGATAGTATGACAGATTAATAAGAAGAAAAACAGAATTATTGGATTTTGTAAAAAACATATTTAAAAATTATCTTAATTTAAAAACATCAACTCCTGTATAAGGATTAAAACCTAATTTTATATTAAGTCATAACTAAGTTTGAAACCTACACAACACCATAGTAAAAAGAAAACTATAATAACCATCTCTATGAAGAAATTTAAACCTGTTATGAGATCCAGCTCTTTTGAACTTGCTACTGCATGCCCTCAAATGATTTTATATGATAGAATGTACTTATATAAAGAAATGAGAGCTTTTAGTGCTGCATTACCATCTCTCCAGCTTTCCCAGTATGCCAATTTCCCACGTCTGTGTGCCCCGAGGTGTACACCCCCATCTGCCATTCATATCCCTCTTTTAAGGCATTCAACTCTCTGTCGCGCTCCAGCATTTTCTGTGCGTGTTCCTCTTTCAAGGCACGAATCTCTTTTTGATAATGCTCACCTAAGGCAATCAGATTCTGCAAAAAGTGTGTTGACTAAATTAATGGATATCATATGAGAGAAGATGTAAGCCTTCTATTGAGGAGTGAGTATTATTCATCTACATCTGCTTTCAAAGAGATCATGTACGTAGATTTCTAACTAAAGTTTATATTTGTAAGCATGAGAGTCGTAAAGTTTACTCATCAATAATGTATACTAATATAATTTACTATGAAAAGGTTCCCAGATTTAAACCAAATGGAATCGTAACAGCATTTCACGGTGTGGCACCAGAGAGATATATATACTCGTCCCAAGTTTTGTGAAAAGATCAGTTTATAGTGTATGAAGAGAAAATCCCACCTTCTCAAGTTCAAGTATTGAATCACTTTGACTCTTTTGCACGATCTTCAGGTTGGTATTTTCTTCTCTAGTTTCCTTCAGATCCATTCTCAACTGAAATGCTTGTCCATCAAGGTGGAATTTGCTTTCCTTAAGTTCTTCCATCTCTGCCTTCAAATTTTTCACCTCTTCCTGCAAATTAGATAGGAAAAGAAATGAGTATGAGTTATATATGAGAAAGAAAAATAAAGAAAATCACCATAATGGAGTACTAGAGATGGGTAGTATTTGGCTGGCTACTTACCTTCTTTCTCTCACGGTAATCTCTGTCGATTTCCGGTTTGGTTTTCTTACCAGCTCTAGATGATGATGCTTGAACAGAACCTCGGGGCCGCTTACGACCACAGCCTGCGTGTTTGAACGTGCATGCATGAGCTTCTTTGGGGCAGGCATACACGAATACTATTACAGTTAACTTTTTTCCTTCTTTTTAATCCCTAACTTAGGTTATCTGTATAATTTGTTTTACTATAAAAATGGTCCCCTAACCTTGTTTTCAGTAGCTGTTTGACTTGGAATTATAATTAAAAAATAGCTAATAAACCAATTAAAATGATATTATAATTAGCTTAGGTCACCAATATCTATAAATCAAAACGGTCATACAACAAATACATCGTACTAGTACTGAAAACATGTTTCGCTAGAGAGAAATATAATTTTGTGACCGCATATAATATTGTGGACCACACTCCATTTCATATTTCACTGAAGAAAAAATTGCAAATTAACATTGGATGCTAGAGGAGCAATAAGGAAATTGAGTCGGAATTTTGTTAGTCTAGATACACACTAATCATTTAATGACAACCAAATATGTGATTAATAATATCTAAATATATGTTTATACTTATGCTTGATTTAAATATCAAACAAGCATAAAAGATTGAGTTTATAACTTTATATGTTTGTATTGATATGCTGGAAGAATGGTATAGGCAAGTTATGTTTTGACTTGACTAATTATTTTACATGAATAAGTAAATTTTGTGACTGAAATAATTGCTTGGTGTTATACTAATGTTATTCTGTGCAAGGAATTTAAGATATGCACAAATTTTTTGAAATGAATATGTTATGTTAGCTGAAATATACTGAAGCAATCAAATCAAGTTTCTTTAAGGAATTATCAAAATGATTGGAAAGATCTCTATAAAAAGAGAAACAATAAAAGAGCAAATGAGATGGTATCATTTTTCAAAGAGTCATGGTACCAAATTCTTATACTCTTAATTATTCATGATATGTGATTATTGAAAAGAGATATATGATATTTGATTATGTGTTTCCATATGCTAATCTTGATTATACTTGTTGTTATCCAATTTTTGACCTCTCTATTTCATAAATTTTTTGAAAAAAAATCTAAAAATAGTGAAAAATAAAAAATCTAAAAAATACATTTTAAATATATTTGCTTTGTTTTTTGCATTTTCAGCATCGTCTTAAAAGAATTTAAATTTTTAAAGGTTTTTTGAACGTGTTTGGCTTTTCACACGTTATTTTTAAAATCATTGATTTTCTTCATTAAGTTGATGTTAATATTGCTCATTTTTAAAAAATACAAAAAAATTAACAAAAACCAAATTTACAAAAAAATAAGGAAGTTGAGTAACTAAGTTTGGGAACTAAACAATATTTTACCTATAAATAGTAGTCCTCAACACACAAAAAAGGAAGGCAATTTTGAACATTTGGGGGAGGCAACACAAAAAAAGAAAACCCTAAAAAAAGCTTAACTCTTTCTTCTCCCTAACCCCCACCCCCCCAACAATCTCACTTCCTTCTCCATTTCTGAAGCCACCACTCTCCATTCCCTATTCATCCTCTACCTTCACCTCCCTCTCCTAACAATCCCCATTCTCTTTTCCCCACAGAGAACCAGACACAATCGATTTTAAAATCAATTATTGTTTGTTGCGTTTTCTTGGATTTGCATGTGGTGGGGGATCCTCACCGCTAGCACGGAAGGGAAGAAAAGAAGAAAGCAGGCTAGATTCCCTTGTTTCCCCGGTTATCTAGCAACGGCACGTGGAGAACTCTTTCTCTGTAATTCCTGGATTTTTTAAAGGCTATTTTATAAATTTGAAATTGTGCAATATAATTTTTGTTTAATTTTGAATTTGTATTTTGAAGTGTGGATATATATATATATATATATATATATAGTAAAAGTGTGTGTGTGTTTGTATGTGTTTTTTTATAAATGTGTTTTTTATGATAAAATTACAAAGAATAAAGAAGAATTTAATATTTTGATTTATTCACGGTCAAGAATTATAAACTTACACTTAAGTCGTATTTCTAATATCTGATGAAAAAATAAAATTTTTAAAACTTCTTTAACACATAAAAGCCACGAAGCAGCTTATTTCAGGTAGGGTGTGCTAAGGATGTTAATACCTTTTTTGATCACAACTAATCTCTTGCCTGTGAATCCTTGACAAGACTAGTACACTACGGTTTCCTAGCAACCTTGAATTAAATACTAGGTGGCGACTCTTAAAGAATCAAATCAACGAAGCAAAAGAAAAATTGTCGGGCCAAAGATGCCCGAGTAATGTATGACAATACGTTTATGAAATATATAATTGGAAAAATTACCCCTAGCATTTTATAGTTTGGTTGAAGTTACACTTGTTTATCGAGTGTTGAAAAATTAGATTTTGCATCCTTGATTAATGCATATTTTTAAATTGAATAAAAGACCACGTTATCCTTATATATAATACATTAAAAGTCAAACAAAAGATAAATTAAAATTTAATCTCCACTAAACACAATTTCTCTTTTCAAAAACCCTAAAAAAATCTCAAATTAAATTAAGCTTAGGAGAACCTTCAAGTTTTCAATGATCTCTTTGAATCTCCATAAACCTCGAGTTGGATTTACTAATCTCAAATTAATATCCTCTCTAAGTGTATCTACGCCCTACAATTCAATAGCAATTAATTTACCATCATCCACCCAATATGGCAAAATCAATTGGGCTTCCTCCCTTTTCATTTGGACCTGGATCTAGGTATTATCTAATTGAATCAAAGGGATTAGGCAATTCAATATGTTTGTTCGTGTTCGAAGAGCTAGTCAAGTGAACAAATGGGTTTTCATCCCAAAATCGTTTAGGAGAAGATGGATTTGGTTTTGGATTTGGATTTTTTTTTTTAAGGGTAAGAAGTATTTGGATTTATTATTGAGAGAGGTGAAGGAGTGCTGTGGATTTTAAGAGAAATTTTTTTCCATGACGTTATTAAGGTCATAATAGTAATTTTAATGTGAAACAATGATGGCAGCGAATATTGTTCTTGATTTCTTAGTGGTAGTGTTGTTCCATCAAAAGAAGCAAACCTCGATAGGTGGGGCTATGAGATAGGTTTGGGTAAGAATTTAATTGTTTATGGATTGGAAATGATCTTTCAATATTATTAACAAAAATGGTGATGACTTTTAAACTTCCAAAATGGATGAGTGGGGGTTTTTAAAGAAAGAATTGGGAAGTGATAAAATGGTGTTGATTTTTGTTTCTTGTTAAGAGTGGTTCTTGATGATTGTTGAACTTTTGTTTGTAATTTTAAACAAATAATAAGGACAAGTTTTTAATGAGACAATCACTGACAAATCGAATGATTCTTTTATACATCAGATTGATTGTTGATGATAATGGTTTATCGGCATGGTGGTCAGTGGATGTAGGGGTTGTGGTTGTTAACTATATATTGCAGAGTTATTACTATTAACAATAATGGTTGGCAGATCTAGGGGAAGATAAACAATAACATGGGTCTTATAAAGATTTGTTTAGTTGTGAGAAAATTTAAAAAAAAAGGAAGTAATGCCTAGGTTTGGTGATTATAGGGAAAATATGGGTGGAAGAAGATCACCAGAGTTTTTTATCCGATAGCAAATTCTTAATTTTTAATATAAGAAATTTTTAATCATTAAATAAAAAATAAAAGTAACGTTATTTATAATTAGATAATTTTTCTTGACTTTGTTGAAGCATGCTAGCTATAAGATGTAAATTGTGAAGCACATAATAAAGTTTGGGTTACAAAGTATAATTTTTCAAAACTTGATAAGTAAGTGCACCTTCGACCAAACTATAAGATGTTTGGGGTAATTTTTCCTAAATATTATGATTGGTTAATCTTTTGTCATTAAATGTCTTTTAATGATAAAAATATACTTGGTATATGTTTTGTAGCATTATATTTATATCATCATTACATATAGTATATTAAATGAGAGGAGATATATATGTTGTCATAAATTGAAATTTTTGCTTATATAAATTAATGTGTAAGTTGATATGATTAACGAGTTATATTAATTTTTCATATGATTTCTTATGTTTTGTTCATTTGATTACACTAAAAGTTCATTGTCATTTTCCAATTAAGTTAAGTAGTACTTTTAAGGAGTTGTACATAACTTATTTTACATTTAAAAATTAACTTGTCTTGAACTAAAAATATAACTTGTATTATAATTAAAAATCATTTGTTTTAAACTCAAAGTTAACCTTTTTTTTATCCTATACTTTTAAAGATTTCAATATCATACTTGGATCATTATGTTTTTAAATGATATAATAATCATATGTTTATTTGGATGCATATGTGATATTCTTGTATAAAACATGTATTAATGCTTAAGTTAAATAATGATTAAATACAAGGTCAAGACATCCATAAGAGTTAGAGTAAGTAGCTTTACTTGATGAAAATGAAAATACACATTACTTGTATTTATACGCTGTACAAGCTTTGTGAAGATTAGATTCATTCAAGGAAATCATCAGATAAGCAAGGTATGGACATATGAAGTTCAAGAACAAGAAACTTGATACAATAATGGTTTTTTACTTTGATTATCAAGACCTTGTACTAAGAGTCTACCAAATAATATTTAATTTATTTATAAATTTGTTTCCACACCTTCAAAACCTAAACCAACCTAAAAGTACATAAAAAAACCAAGAAAATATCAAAACACAAATATCAAGATAAATATTACCCCACCTAAATTGGTCTAAGGTTTACAGAAATGACTTGCCATTTCTCAATAAAGTTTAATAATTGTTGTAAAACAATTTAGTTGATTCCTAAAATTTTCAAAACTTTTCTAGTAACTTTAAAATGGTCTAACCAATTCCAACAATGGTCTATTTGATTTTTCTAAGAGTAGAAATATTTTGAAAATTATGCCTAATGTCTAGTTTGATTTTTTAGCTCTAAATTTCCCTCGCTTCAACAAAATATTCAAGAACATTCAAGGTAAGATTTTAATCTCATTCTCACTCTTAAACAATCTCCAACAACCTTAGATTTACTCTTGTTTAATCAAAAAACAAGATTAAAGTGTTATTAGCAAAATTCTTCTATATGCTTCATTTATATTTTATTCAACTTTATTAAAAAAATAATATTATAAAAAATGTAAATGATACATAAAACACTTGGAAAAACCTTTTAAAGGGTATTTAAGTGGTTTGATACTTGTTCATTTATAAATATTGGTAAGGAAAGGCAAGTTAATCACGTATCAATAAAAAAGATTAGATAGTAAGTTTGATTTTCAACCTATATAAAAGGATTAAGTTAGATCATGAACTCTTAACTCTATCTCATTATGTATTGTAAATATTTTAAAGTGTTGATTGAATTAGTGTATATTTAAGTTTGTCTTTATTGTTGTTATTAGAGATGTTTATTTGGATTAATCATTATATTACGTATAATTGTTTTCAGTTAAGAAAAAAATTTAACTGGAAACCTAGTCCACCATCCTTTTAAGTTCACCTATTACTTTCAAGTTTGTCAACGAATGGAAAATTTAATCTAAATAGAGTTTCTTCTAAATAGAGTTTCTTTCTTTTATTTTTTTTTATATAAATATATTTTACGATGAATTTTATAAAGATTTTGGTTTGTTATAGTCTGATTGTGAGCTAAACATAATTCTTAAGGCTCCCATGTAGCTTTTCCATGAACTTCTTGAGTTTTTTATTTAAATTATAATTATAATATTTATTAATCTTTATTAAGTGTGCATTATTGTATTTATTTCCTTCATCATCTTTTATAATATGCAAAAGGGAACCAAAGATATCATAAAAAAGATACACATATGAAGTTTTTCATTAATTAAAGGTTGGGTGCCAAATCAAAGGTTTCTTCATGGCTACCAAGGGTTACAGTTTTAAATACAAAAATTGCTTTAACATTTTTGTATTCCTTATCTTCTCCACCGCTGATCAGTCATTCTCTTGTCGGCTCCGATACTCTTTTGTTCAATAAAAGTCAGTATTTCATTAAAAAAAAAGAAAAAAAAATTAAAAACGTTGCCCTTTTTTGTTTCCCAAAAATAAGGAAATCTGAGAGAAAAAAAAACCCTTAAAAAGAGTACAAAATAGAATCGCACGAAACCCAGGCCTAAAGAGCTTAGCTGGAGCTGAAACAGTGAGAGAAATAAAAGTTTATTAAACAGATCGGGTGCTTAAAACATTTCCTTATTATATATTCATCCATGTAACTAGATCTAACCATGCATCTATTTATTTAGCCAAAAAAAAGAAACATGAGAACATATATCATTCAACTCCAAGCGATTTTAAATAGGTGAAGTCTCAAAGATATCATGAAAGATTCAGTGGTTTTATTTTATTTTATAATATAGTCTCGAAAATATGAAATATTAAATGGTTTATAAAATGAAAACTGCTAACAGTAACCACAATTATTTGACTTACCGGTGATACATGGATCTTGAAGATCCTGAACCGAACTGGAATTCTCCTTCCCCAAATTCCCTGCCATCTTTAAACTTTGAAGATATATAATTTCAGTGTTTTCTTCTTTTTCTGGAGAGGGAGGGAGAGACTGCGCTTGATAAATAATCCCATTTGGGCAAGGCGATGAAACGATTAATCAAGGGATCCATCGACTTCTGAACTCTAAAGTAATTGAACTAAATTCGTTCGATATCGGAAGATATACAAATTTGCATGGACCCACTTTTAACTAAAATTAATGGTGTCCACACATATTTGTATAATTATAGCTAGACCAATAGATGAGGGTAAATTATAGCTGTACTCCCCACCCCCCCCACAACATAGTTTAATAATTCCTAATATTATCCCTATACTTCTTATAACTTTCTAATTTTCCCCTCAAAAATTAACAAAAGGCTTGCTCTTGACTTCCTTTTTATTTTTCGTACTTTTCTCTGATCCCCCCCGATTCCTTATGTATGAAAACAAGTTTGTCATTTCATGGCCAGAAGTTTCACGGAAACGTTCGAAAAGTTGAAGGGTAATATTTGAAAATTAAGAATTTAAGGATAAAAGTTGAATAATGTTGATGAATTTGTAAGGACAAAATTGAATTTTACCACTCGAACAGGAAAACATTTAGAAAAGTGTGCTAAATATAACATGAATTATGCTTTGAACATGATAAATTATTTATGAGTAAATTCAAGTGTTCTCAATCCATTAATTATAACATGCTTATGAACTAACATATATATATATAGTTAAAATTAAAATAACTTGCAATTCAGAAGGGAAAAAAACTTACATTATCAAAACCTCAAAAATTAAAAACAATATATATTAAATAACTCAGGGCCATTTTATTACCAATGTTAAAACAAATCATAAGTATAAATACAATATTTTTAATTGAAAACATAAACATGTCTACAATAAGACTTAAAAAGTCTTAGCTACCTCTTTCCTGGCCGCATTTGCATCAAATTAATTTTATAGCTGGCTGGTCAAGATTTTAGCTCAGAGACCTAAATGGAGAACGAATTCTCAACCCAAAGCTCAGCCGGCTAATATCTCTTAGATGGATGACCCATCTCTCTCATTTTTCCTTTTTATTTAATAATTTTTTATTTTTTGTAATTTTGAATAACAACAAGTTATAAATTTTATATTTTTTAATTATTACATGTATAAATTATGAAATTTTATATATACAAAAAAATTAACAGTGCTGATCCACCAGTTTTTTTTTTAAATGCTAATAAACAAAAATATCCTTTTGCGATAGGGTGCATAAACTTTTTCTAACTCTTAATTTTTTTTTTTTAAATAATAATTACTCAGGCCTCGTTTTGCTTTGCTTTTTTTCTCTCTGCTACATTGAATTGCCTTTTTCACTGTTTGTACGTTTCATCTTTTTACCTGTGGCCATTTAAGATTTAAATTTCTATGTTATCCACTAAAAATACTTAAGAATGTATGACTACACGGGGTTCCATAGAAAACACATCTGGCTTTTTAGTTGTATTTACTTATTTTATATAATGATTAACATATACTAGAAGGTATTCGCATTTCAATGTAGCAATGAACAATAAAATACCAAGATTTTTTACTCTTTGGTTCTAAAATGTTTTTAAAATTTTGGTCCTCAAAAGTTTTAAAGGATCTTTTTTATTAGTATTTTTAAAAAAACAAATCTGCTGAACAACATAGTTAAGTTTTTTTATTATAAAATATTATAATTTTTACATGTTACAATTAAAAAATATAAAATTTATAGCTTGTTGTTATTCAAAATAGTGACATCTAAAAAGTTAATAAATCAAAAGAAAAGATGAGAAAGAAGAGAAAAAAAAATTTTAGAGATACATTGAAATCTTGATTATAACATTGTTAATATCATCAAAAAAAATCTTAATAAAATAAATCTAATAATATTAAAAGTATTTATTAATGGTCACCCGTATATCATATTTGCTATTAAAGATGACATGTAATTTACTTGTTTTTTGGGTCAAGTTTTATCTCATTATAGAATGAATCAAGATTTAAAGTTAGATGAAATTCATTCTAGTTTATTTGTTTTTTTTTTTAATGAAACAAGTTATATTGGCTATTTGGGATGGAATAAAACAATATAATTGACGAACTTGTGTTCAATAGGGACAAATGGGGTCTTTGGGTCGACTCCCATGAGTTGGGTCATTCCTTTGTGATGAATCCATCTAAGAGATGCTTAGCTAGCTGAGCTTTGAGTTGAGGATTCGCTCAAGATTTAGGCCTCTGAGTTAAAATCTTGGCCGACCAGCTGTAAAATTAATTTGATGCGGATGTGGCCAGGAAATAAATAGTGTTCTAATTGAATATAAATTGTTGTTTAGTTTCTGGTTTAAAATATTTTTTATTTAAAAATATATTAAAATAATATTTTTTTATTTTTTAAAAATTATTTTTGAGATCAATAAAAAAATTAAATTTTTTAAAAACATGAATTAAACAACCTTTCCAAACACTTAAAAAATAATATAAGAAATGGAACTTTTATTACTGGAACAAGGAGGGGTTTGAAGGAGACTTTTTAAGTCCTATTGTAGACATGTTTACGTTTTCAATTAAAAATATTGTATTTATACTTATGATTTGTTTTAAGATTGGTAGAAAGTGTGGATGCCAGCTGTTTTAATTTGGTAGTAAAATGGCCTTGAGTTATTTAATATATTTTGTTTTTAATTTTTAAGTTTTGATAATGTAATAGTTTTTTTTTCCTTCTAAATTGCAAGTTATTTTAATTTTAACTATATATCTATGTTAGTTCATAAGCATGTTATAATTAATGGATTGAGAACACTTGAATTTACTCATAAATAATTTATCATGTTCAAAGCATAATTCATGTTATATTTAGCACACTTTTCTAAATGTTTTCCTGTTCGAGTGGTAAAATTCAATTTTGTCCTTACAAATTCATCAACATTATTCAGCTTTTATCCTGAAATTCTTAATTTTCAAATATTACCCTTCAACTTTTCGAAACGTTTCCATGAAAATTCTAACCATGAAATGACAAACTTGTTTTTATTTGGATGTTTAGGATCTTTAAGTGTTTTTTTTGTGAGATATAGTGAAGCATATATGAGGAATCAGGGGGAATCTGAGAAAAGTAAGAAAAATTATAAGGAAGTCAAGAGCAAGCTTTTTGTTATTTATTAAGGGGAAAAATAGAAAGTTATAAGAAGTATAAGGATAATTAATATTAGGAATTATTAAACGACGTGGGGGTAGGAGCACAGCTACTTCATGAAGCACTAATTTATTGAATCCTTCGACATCGAACGATTTACTTTAGAATTGATCCCTTGATTGGCTGTTTCATGGCCTTGCCCAAATGGGATTATTTATCAACTGTAGCCTCTCCCTCCCTCTCCAAAAAAAGAAAAAAACACTGAAATTGTATATCTCCAGGAGGTTCGAAGATGGCAGGGAATTTAGTGAAGGAGGATTCCAGTTCGGTTCAGGATCTTCAAGATCCGAGAATCACCGGTAAGTCAAATAATTGGGGTTATATCTAGTAGTTTTCCTTTTATAAACCATTTAATCTTTCATAATTTCGAGACTATATTATATATAAGATAATAGAATAAAAATAACCATTTAATCTTTCATGATTTTGAGACTTCACCTACTTCAAACCTCTTGGAGTTGAATGATATATGTTCTTATTTTTTTTCTTTTTTTTGGCTAAATACATAGGTGCATGGTTAGATCTAGTTAGATGGATGAATATATGATAAGGAAATGTTTTAAGCATCCGATCTGTTGAATAATCTTTGATTTCTCTCACTGTTTCAGCTCAAGCTAAGTTCTATATTATGCCTGGGTTTCATGCGAATCCCATTTGTTGCCTTTTGACTAGCTCTTCAAACCCAAACAAAGTCCTTGAATTGCCTAATCCGCTTGATTCAATTAGATAATTCATCGATCCAAGTCCGGATGAAAAAGGGAGGAAGCCCGTTTGATTTTGCAACAATGGGTGGATGATTGATATTGGATTTGTAGGGAGCGTCGATACACTTAGAGAGGATATTAATTTGAGATTAATAAATTCAACTTGGGGTTTGTGGAGATTCAAAGAGATGATTAAAAACTTGAGGGTTCTTCCTGAGCTTCAATTTGAGATTTTTTTAGGACTTTTAAAGAAAGAAATTGTACTTGGGGGAGAGGAAATTTTAATTTGTTTTTTATTTGAATTTTTGATCTATTATATTTAAAAATTTATGTTAATCAAGAATACATAATTTAATTTTTTAAAACTTGATAGACAAATATAACTTTAACCAGATGACAAAATGCTAGAAGTAATTTCTTTAATTATTTATTTTATAAAAGTATAATCAAGATTAGTATATGAAAACACATAATCAAATAAAGAGGATAAGAATTTGATATAGTGACTCTTTTTCAATGATAACACTTCTCTTACTCTTTCATTTTTTTTTTGTTCGAATTGCAAAGCAATTGCTGTTTTTGTTGATGTTGATGCTGTTAGCATGTTAAATGTGTTCTTTTCCATATCAATCTTCTTTTAACCAAGGAATTTGAGAGTAAATGGCTGATAAACGCTATTTTAATTCCATACCATTCTCTATTTTAAAGATTCTGATAACATGTATACTAGATTTCCTTTAGTCATGGATTTCTTTTACCTTCTTATCTCCCACGTACGCAATCTCTTATATCCTCACTGCATCTCAATTGCTTAAGCCCAACTATAGAAATATGATAATAGAATTGAAACTGTGATGTTTTGATCAAAATGGTGTTTTGGAATGAATTTTAATCTATTTTTTGGTTAAAATTTAAATTTTTTTAAATTAATTTTTTAATATTTAGAATTATTCTTATACGGTGATGTTAAAAAATAAATTTAAAATAATAAAAAAATTATTTTAATATATTTTTAAATAAAATATATTTTAAAAAATAATAATTATTACACTTTCAAATACTTTTAATTTTAGCTCTCATTCAATGTTAAGGATAAATGAAAGGATAATTAAGCAAATCATTGACATACAATAACATAATTATTAACTTTTTAAAAATAATATTCAATTAAATATTCTATAAAAATATAAGGACTAACAGAGTAGCATGAGAAAAATTAGTCATATAAGGACAAATACAATAAAAACATAATGATCTCTCCTAAGTTATATACCAAAATAATATAAAAGCAATATTAAAACTCCTTTTTAAAACAATATAAATTATACTTGTAAAATCCAGATTAACCTAGCCGGTTGACTTAAAACGCAACTAACTTGAAGCCTAAATCAATCCGAGTTGAAAAACAACTTAATTAACTAAGTTAAAAACTTGAATTAACTAGGACCTAATCCAATAGAAATCGGATCTTTAATTTGTTGATTTAAAAATAAAAAATTGACCAAAACTCAAAATTATTTTTTATCAGATTTTACATGAAACTTACCAAAAACATTAAAAAAACAAAAAAAAAATAATTTTTATAGTAAAATTTTATACATAATTAAATTATACCCATTTTCAATCACAACCATAATCACAATCACTAAAACAAACACCATTAAATAAGGTTACATGATAAAGAGAATATCCAATAGGCTGAGCGCAGCCCATACGATAAAATGCCACATTGTCTCACAAAGAAGGTGTCCATCTAGCAATTATTCATGCCTCTCAGTATAGTTTGAGGCCTTAGGGAATCCAAACTTGAAAATATAAAATAAGGGTGGGTTTACCCCTGTTACATGTCTTGCCGAGTTAGGCCATTAATTTGGAATGCGTAGTCAAAGTTGAAGAAGTTGGTGATGGCCTGAGCAGTGGCAGGAGTCTCCATGGGGTTGTTCTGTGAACAATATTGTTAGAATAGTTAGAATATTGATAGTATGACAGATTAATAAGAAGAAAAAGAGAATGATTGGATTTTGTAAAAAAATATTTAAAAATTATCTTAATTTAAAAACATCAACTACTGTATATAGATTAAAACCTAATTTTATATTAATTCAAAACCAAGTTTGAAACCTACACAACACCATAGTAAAAAGAAAACTATAATAACCATCTCTATGAAGAAATTTAAACCTGTTATGAGATCCAGCTCTTTTGAACTTGCTACTGCATGCCCTCAAATGATTTTATATGATAGAATGTACTTATATAAAGAAATGAGAGCTTTTAGTGCTCCATTACCATCTCTCCGGCGTTCTCATGCCAATCTCCCATGTCTATGTGCCGCGAAGTGCACACCCACATTTGCCGTTCATGTTCCTCTTTCAAGGCATTCAACTCTCTGTCGCGCTCCAGCATTTCCTGTGCATGTTCCTCTTTCAAGGCATTCAACACCCGGTCGCGCTCCAGCATTGTCTGTATTATATGATCAGACAATCTCCCATGTCTATGTGCCGCGAAGTGCACACCCACATTTGCCGTTCATGTTCCTCTTTCAAGGCATTCAACTCTCTGTCGCGCTCCAGCGTGTGTATTAATCATCTACATCCAGCATTGTCTGTATTATATGATCAGACAATATGCAATTAGCCTTCTTTTGAGGTGTGTGTATTAATCATCTACATCCAGCATTGTCTGTATTATATGATCAGACAATATGCAATTAGCCTTCTTTTGAGGTGTGTGTATTAATCATCTACATCCAGCATTGTCTGTATTATATGATCAGACAATATGCAATTAGCCTTCTTTTGAGGTGTGTGTATTAATCATCTACATCGGCTTTCAAAGAGATCTTGTACGCAAAGTTTCTAATTAAAGTTTATTTTTGTAAGCATGAGTCACATAAAGTCTACTCATCAATAATGTATGCTAATATAATTTACTATGAAAAGGTTCCAAGATTTAAACCAAATGGGATCGTAACAGAATTTCACGGTGTGGCACAAGAGACATATATACTCGTCTTAAGTTTTGTGGAAAGATCAGTTTATAGTGTATGAAGAGAAAATACCACCTTCCCCAGTTCAAGTATAGAATCACTTTGACTCTTTTGCACGATCTTCAGGTTGATATTTTCTTCTCTAGTTTCCTTCAGATCCATTCTCAACTGAAATGCTTGTCCTTCAAGGTGAATATTGCTTTTCACAAGTTCTTCCGCCTTTGCCTTCAATTTTTCCACCTCTTCCTGCAAATTAGATAGGAAAAGAAATGAATATGAGTTATGTTTGATGGAAAGAAAAATAAAGAAAATCACCACAAAGGAGTACTTGAGAGGGGTAATATTTGGCTGGCTACTTACCTTCTTTTTCTCACGGTGGTCTCTGTCGATATCCCGTTTGGATTTCTTCCCAGCTCTAGATGATGATGGTTGAACAGAACCTCGGCGCCGCTTATGACCAGAGCCTGCGTGTTTGAACGTGTATGCATGAGCTGCTTTGAGGGCAGGCATACATGAATACTATTACAGTTAACTTCTTTCCTTCCTTTTCAATTGTATTCCTGATTTAATCCCTAACTAAGGTTACCTGTATAAATTGTTTTCCTATAAAAAAGGTCCCCTAACCTTGTTTTTTGTATCTGTTTGACTTGGAATTATAATTGAAAAAACAGCTAATAAACCAATTACAATGATATTATAATTAGCTTAGGTCACCAATATAAATCAAAACGGTCATACAACAAATACATCATACTAGTACTAATTAAAAACATGTTTTACTAGAGAGAAATATAATATTGTGACAGCATATAATATTGTGGACAGCAAATGAGGTTTTATCATTTTTCAAAGAGTTATGCTACCAATTTCTTATTTTCTTTTTTTATTTGTGATACGTGCTTATTAAAAAGAGGTATATGATATTTAATTATGTGTTTTCATATGCTAATCTTGACTGTATTTTTGTGAAATAAATAATTGAAAAAATTACACTTAACACTATATATAGTCTAGTTGAAGTTGTATTTGTCCACCGAGTTTTGAAAAATTAAACTCTGCATTCTTGATCAACAGAAATTTTTAAATTAGATAAAAAATTAAGCTATTCACGTAAAAAAAAATCAAACAAAAAACAAATTAAAATTTCCTCTCCTCCAAATATAATTTCTCTCTTCAAAAGCCCTAAAAAAATCTCAAATTGAAGCTTGGGAAGAACCTCAAGTTTTGAATCATCTCTTTGAATCTCCACAAACCCCAAGTTGAATTTATTAATCTCAAATTAATATCCTCTCTAAGTGTAAGTGTATCTACGCTCTCTACAAATCCAATATATATCAATCATCCACCCATTGTTGCAAAATCAAACGGGCTTCGTCCCTTTTTCACCCGGACTTGGATCGATGTGCTATTTAATTGAATCAAGTGCATTAGGTAATTCATGGACTTTGTTAGGGTTTGAAGTGCTAGTCAAAAGGCAACAAATGGGTTTCGCATGAAACCCAGGCATGATAATTAAAGAGCTTAGCTTGAGCTGAAACAGTGAGAGAAATCAAAGATTATTCAACAGATCGGATGCTTAAAACATTTCCTTATCATATATTCATCCATCTAACTAGATCTAACCATGGATCTATGTATTTAGCCAAAAAACAAAAAACACGAGAACATATATCATTCAACTCCAAGAGATTTTAAATAGGTGAAGTCTCAAAATAATGAAAGATTGAATGTATTTTATTTTTTGATGTAGTCTTATAATATAGTCTCGAAATTATGAAACATTAAATGGTTTATAAAATGAAAACTACTAAATATAACCACAATTATTTGACTTACTGGAGATACTTGGATCTTGAAGATCCTGAACCGAACTGGGTTCCTCCTTCCCCAAATTCCCTGCCATCTTCGAACCTCCTGAAGGTATACAATTTCAGCTTCTTTTTTCTTTTTTTTTTTTGTGAGGGGGAGGGAGAGGTTCCCTTGATAAAGAATCCCATCTAGGCAAGGCCATGAAAGAGCTAATCAAGGGATCGATCGACTTCTAAAGTAAAACATTCGATGTCGAAGGATTTAAATCGGAAATACTATTTGCATGGACCCACTTTGGAGCCAGGAGAGTTGCAGGCTGGCAAGTTGATGCATAAAAGATTAGGTGGAAAGTGGAAAGTGGAAAGAGACAAAGAGATGAACGTGGAAAGTGGTTTTTTAAAATTTATTTTTTAATTTTTTATGTATATTTATTATTAGAAAAATTAATTAATCAAAAAAATTTTTTAATCAAAAAAATTTTTTTGGTTTCCAAAAAAATATTTTTTTTATATTAGATAAAAAATACTTTCTAGAAATTATAATAAAATTAAAAATATTATATTATTTGCTAATTATAATAAATTTGATTATCAAATTATTGATTGCTATATATTTTATTTTATTTTTAATTTCACCACTTAAAATTTGATTTAATTTGATTTTTATATTAACTTTGTTTTTATTTTTATGATTTATAATTGTTATTTTTTATTATTTTTTTAATTAAAATTTTTTATCTATTAAATTTGGTTTTCGTTCTTTTAATTGTTACTTGTTTTATTTAAAATAATGTATAAAATTATTATTATTATCATTTTAATTTCTTTATCTTTTAATTTTTTGATTTGTTAGATTTGATCACTATTATTTTGATTATTATTTATTTTATTTGAGATAGTTTATCAAATTGAATTATTTTTTTCAATTTCATTTTTATTCAACTTTTTAATTTGTAAAATTTGTTTTTTATTAATTTAATAAACTTGAAAAAAAAATATTCATAAGTTATTTTTCAATTTATTTTTCATAACATAACCAAACACTAGAAATTATTTTTCAATTTATTTTTTATGACACTACCAAATATCTAAAGATAATTTACTTTTTAAATATTTATTTTTCAAGAAAATCTCTTTCAAAAAAAATTATTTTTCAAGAAACAAACGAAGCTAAAAAATAGCCGAGAAGCTATAACAGTAAACACAAAAAAGAAAGATGATTATGAATAGTCAAGTTATTAATGTATGTTAAACTTATAAAAATTAAAAATTATCATGAGTTGAGAGGATGTGTTTAAAAAATAATTAAAATAAATACTTTTTATTATTATTTTTTAATTGATTAAAGGAAGAATCAAGAAATTGATAAAATCAAGGTAATTAAGAAATTATTTTTATCATCTAATTAAAGAAGATAATCAAGTATTTTGTACAATTTATTTTATTCCATTTCATTATATATCTTATTATATAACTATATAAACTTTACATAAATTAAATGTAAAACACATAATTAAATTATCAAATAATATCTTTCTATTCTATTCTTAAATTTATATTGTTTTCGGAGTGCGGCTGATTTTTTTTTTTTTGTGGCCCCCTTCATGAACGTCATATTGGAAAGAAGCTGTGTAAACAGGGTATGTTTTTCTGGCCTACCTGAGCATGGAATCAAGGTGGTTTTGATGTGAATGTTTTTTTTTTAAATAAATTAAAAAAAATAAATTATTTTGAATGTTTAGTGATATAATAAAAAAATAAGTTGAAAAATATTTTATAATATTTAATTATATCATGAAATTTTTTTTTAGAAAATAACTTATTAATATTTTATTTTTTTCAAGTTTATTAAAATAATAAGAAATAAATCTTACAAATTAAAACATTTAATGAAAATAAAATTGAAAAAAAAATATAATTTCTTAATTTATCTCAAATAAAATAAATAATAATCAAAATAATAGAGATCAAATCTAAAAAAATAAAAAAATATAAAGATAAAATTAAAAAAAATAAAAGATAAAGAAATTAAAATAATAATAGTTAACATTTAATAAATTCTTTCAAATAAAATAATTAACAATAAAAAAAATGAGGATAAAATTTGATAGATAAAATTTTTTAATAAAAAATAATAAAGAAACAAATAACAATTATAAAAATAAGGATTAAAGTTAATATAAAAATTAATTTTTAAAAGATGAAATTGAAAAATAAATATTTATATATATATATACAGTAATTAAAAATTTAAGAATCAAATTTGTTATAATTAGTAAATAATATAATATTTTAAATTTTTTTATAATTTATAAAAAATATTTTCTATTTAAAAGTTTTAGAAAAATATCTTCCTGAAAATCAAACTAAAATTTTTTAAAACGGAAAAGTATTTTATATTGATTAATTTTTTTTAATAATAAATAAATATAAAAAAATTAAAAAATTATTTTTCAAGAACAAAAGTAACCCTCTTGTTGTTGGATTTTTAGGAATTTTGACTACAGCGGGTGCATCTTTTGAATTGTATTTTGTCTTCTTCTTTATTTTTTTTACTCGGGTGATGGTGATTGAGAGAATAATCGTAATTTTTTTTTTTAAAATGTTTTTTATTTAAAAATATATTAAATTAAATTTGTTTTTAATATAAATATATTAAAATAATTTAAAAATACTAAAAAATATTAATAAAAAAATAATTTTTTTAAAATACTTTTAAAACTAAAAAACAAACACACTCAGTCAAAAACAAACACAATCAGGTCAAGTTGTGGTTAGCTTAGTTTACCACCCGCTCACAATTCCGACCGTGCCTGTTCTCACTTGAAACAATATACACATTAAAAAAAAAAAATACACATTGTATAACGTATTCCCATTTGTTAGCCATCACACTTTGCATCGGCATTCCTTCTTCTAACATCCACTTGCCCGATAACTCACTCAAAACCGTTTTAATGCTACTGATGTTCTAGATTCTTTTTCCGCAAGTGGTGTTCTGCCTCAGTGGTTTCTGTTTCTATTTTTCCTGAATGGCTTCAAGTCCCCGTGTCTGTTCTGCTTCTATTCACGCTTTAGTTAGATCGTTTTGCCTGCATGCTATGTTCCACCGTAAATCTTGTGTGTGTCAACTTCTCAAATGTTAAGGAAGCTTTGCTATTTTGCCTCTATATGTTGTTCAGGAGCCTTATTGACAAGGTTTTCCTTGAACATTATTCACCTCTTGATTGGGATGCTCTGGCATTGTCAACTGATCGCTTTAGAACTCTAAACATCTATAAGCAACATTAAAAAAATTATTAAATCAAAAGAAAAGATGAGAGAAAAAAGAAAAAATAAAATTTTGGAGATGCATTGAAGTCTTGATTATAATATTGTCAATATCGTAAATTTTTTTTAATAAGATGAATCTAATAATATATATATATATATATATATATATATATATATATAATTCTTAATAGTGACACAAGTACAATACACTTACTGTTCAAAGATGACACATGACAAAGCTAGATGAAATTTATTCTAGATTATTCTGTTTTTTAAAACGAAACAGGTTATTCTAGCTATTATGAACCGAATAAAACAACATAATTGATGACCATGTTCAATATGGGCAAATAGGGTCTACAGGTCGACTCCCATAAACCAAAATTAACTTGATGCGAATGCAGCCAGGGAAGAAGGGGCTATAGATAGCGTTCCAATTTAACATAAAATAATATGAGAAAAAGATATTTTATTACTGGAACAAGAAGAGAGGTGTTTGAAGGAGACTGTTTAAGTCCTATTGTAGAAATGTTTATGTTTTCAATTTAAAAATTTGTATTTATACTTATCATTGAATATGCATCAATAAGTTGAAGTATGCAGCTGATACAATGAAGAACATGCACCAACGGGCTAAACACTAAAGTTGTTAGAATGAGCATAGTAGGTGGTTAAAGTCTGTTATCAAGTTAATATTAATATGTTATTTATAACTAATTCTGTTACTATGTTAAGTGTAGGATATATAAATACTGTAATCAATTATCTAAATGAATAAGATGAAATCAGTTTACATTTTCATTTTTAATATGATATCAGAGCAATTTCTCTAAATTTAATTTTTGAATCTTCATCTTCATTTTTTTCATTTTTATTTCTACATTCTTTCTTTTTATTTTCTGGAAATAGTTGAAGCTATCTCAAAAATGAATTTTTCTAATCCTTTCTTTCTGCATCATAGTGACAATCTTGACTACAAGATTGCTTCGAAGTGACTTGATGGTAAAATTTATAATTCATGGAAGAGGGCAATGATGATGGTTTTATCAACCAAGAACAAACTCAGTTTTGTTAATGTCACTTTGCCTAAGCTATCCAATATGTCTGATTCTCAAGGTTTGGCATGGACTCACTGCAACAATATAGTTCTCTTGTGGCTGTTGAATTTTGTTTCAACAAAGATTGCTAATATTATCATTTATATTGATGATGCATTTGAAATATGGAATGATCTTCATGACAATTTTTCTCAACATAATGGACCATACATTTTTAGCTCCATAAATCCATCTCATCTCTACCATAGGAGAATAACTTTGTTAGTGTATTATGAAAGGATTATGAGATGAGTTAGGAAATCATTAACCAATTCCTATATGCACGTGTGGAGCCTTGAAAACTATTTTATATTATCATCAGCAGCAGCATGTTTATCAATTCCTCGTAGGATTGAACGAGAGTTATTTGCATATTCAAGGACAAATTCTGCTGATTAATCTACTATCTTCTATTAATAAGGTTTTCTCATTTATAGTTCAAGAGGAAAAACATCACATGATTTTCTATTCAAGTGTTTCTTTCAATTAGAACACCGCTGCATTACTTACCATATAATACCTCCAACTCGTTTTGTTGGTGACAAATCTTTTTATCCTAAAAAAGATCGATCTATATGCTCTCATTATGGTATTCATGACCACACTATGGAGAAGTGCAACAGAATTCATGGATTTCCATCCAGTTACAAGTTTAAAAAAGGAAAGAATACACCTCATAGTATAAATCAGGTTTCTGAAAACACTGCTCCTCAACTGCCTATTACTTATGAACAATGTCCGCAACTCATGGAAATGTTCAATTCCTCAATCTCAAAACTTGAATCTTTTGTCAATCAAGTTTCTTTATTTGCAAATAAAGAATCAGAAATCACTGCTCAAGATGAAACTTTAATCAATATAAACTGTGCAGATACTCTTTCAAATATATCTTAATTTTCTAATCTAGATAAAAAACATTATGTTTTTGCATCTACCTTATCTTTCACTCATCCAACTCTTCTCACAAATTCTATCAAAGC